ATGACAATAAAATTATATTCTCACATTGAGCACTAGAGCGTCGCATTGCTTCTGCTCGAGCGACTCCACCAGGATGATGTCTGGCTGCTCAATCTTTATATTGACGGTCATCATGGACGGCTTCTGCGCTGGCTCCACCGCCACCGTGCTCGTCATCGTCTTCCGCCTCTGTAACTAAAAGACAATATTATTATTATTATCATTACACAACAAGTAAATGTAATAAACCTACTAAATAAATAAAAAATCGAAAAAGATTGTCGGTGGCTTAGGGGTTTGGCTTGACTTGTAAGCCACAGGTCCTAGGTTGGATTTCCGCCATGTCCCAAATATGATTTTCGAATTTCATATGTACATAATTTACCCGACGTTCTTACGGTAAAGGAAAACATCGTGATGCAACCTGCACATGTCAGCGAAAAAATTCAAAGATATGTGTGAAGTCTACTAAGCCGCATTGCTATGGTTGACTAAGGCCTAGTCACCTTAACTTAGGGTAGGCTCCGAGCCTCTCAGTAACGACTGTGAGTCGAAAAATATTAAATAAAATGTGAACTAACAGTGGCATTGTCTGTGGATTTGTCTGCGTTGGGGCGGAGCTTGAGGTCAGCGGCGTCAGGCGCGTCTTCCGCCAAGCCCGTAGTCATGAACTCTGCGATCTTGTTCAGGAAGTCCATTGCCAGGATTAGATTGAAACTGAATATTCTCATGTCAACTGTAACAATAATTTCATTAAGTTTGGCTTCAATAACTAAAATAAAACAGGCATCAAAGTTTATTCCGTGTACAGTCTAATGAGAACTTTCGAATCAACAATGCCCTGTTATAAGAAAAGGATAGGTATTTGACTAAGAAGAGAACGAGACATACTCTATTTCTGTATGCTCCCTCCACTGTATTTTATTTACAAAACTTACTGAATGTGTCAGAGTTCTTCATTGTGTATGTAATATCGATCATGCTGCGAATTTTATCATTTGCTTCCATAATCGCAGTCGATTCCTGCGTCCGTTCTAACAACGCTTCCTGGTTATCACGTCGTCTTTCCAGATACCTAGACAAAGATACAATATTTCAATAAAATCACTGTTAAAGAAAATGGTCAATACAAACAAATGTCCCTAACTTCAAACTATTCAATGTAGAGTCAGATAAATAAATTAAATATGTATTTACAAAACTTCAGAAACTAGAAGTCTTCATTTTCAATATATACATAAATATATTCGTTTCTATGGTTACGACCATAAATATATGTTATTAACGAAACCTTGCATCCTTTTTTGCAAAACCGTATTAATCACATATCTAAAGTTAAATGTATACAGGAGCTGACTGTACTTAAACGAATATTCAATTTAAGTATTAAAAATTCAAGTCTGCTTTCTTTAAGGTATTAAACGATATAACATATTATACGAGTGTTTGGTCAGTGTACATGTTTACATACTGTTTTAGACGCTTGCATTATGCGTGAATAAGTTCAAGTAAGTTGACATAAGTCATTAAAGAAGTCTGCACGCAAGTTTCACTTACTCCTGCACATATCTATCACATACCGTATTTAGTATTAGCATAGTTTAAATACTTGTATATTAATTGTTGTTGATAAAGATTTAAATAAATAATACCGTGTAATCTTAGCCCCCCTGCCGGGGCGCGTGTCGTCCAGCGTGCAGTCGACGAGCAGCACGGAGGTGTGCAGCGAGCCGTCGGAGAACATGCGCCCCTTCACCGACAGCAGCGCCAGGCAGAACCGCGCCAAATCCACGTCCAAACTGTTTGATGGATTCTCGACCTTAAAACAATGTTATAATATGCATAGAGTGAAGATTTAATGTTCTTAATACTAGTTTTCAACCGCAACTCCCTCCGCATGGAATTTTAAAAAACAACAAAAGTTACTATTTTATGTGTTCTTCTACTTTACCCTCTACATCTATACTAAATTTCAAATCCGTTCAGCCGTTTAGGCAACAAACTCTAAAAAACATCCATCTATCCATCTAAACTTTCGCATTTATAATATCTGTAAGAAGTAAGATTTTAAAGCGTTCAACAAACACTTCTTTGTTATGAAGGATGTTAGCAAACACTATATTTTTGAATCATTTCTTTTTTTAATACCAACAAACCCTATATTCAATATGAAATTGGTGATTTCAACAAATTATATAAACTTATGTTCTTGGTTGCGATTGCTGTTTTTACATTGTTTATATAGTTGACAAAAAAAAATTAAACCTAGATATTTACAGAATACTTACCGAAGCAGTGGTATTCAAAAGGTCGATAACAAAGCTATCCATAGTGAATGCAAATTTAATAGTCGTCCTAGGTTTCTTGTCTTCGACGGGGGTGACAGGAGCCGACATGGACTTGACCTGCGCCTTGCTGACCTGTATCTTCACGCCTACTTTAGAAGTAGCTTTGGGCATCGTCTGAGCAGCTTTCGTGTCTTCAGTCTTCGTTTGACCTTCTTGGAGATTCTGATTCAGGATCTTCATAATACTCTTGTAATCGCTGTGCCCTACGGTTATCTGAAAAGATTTAAATTTACTTTAATAATTTTGCATATCTTAGTTCTTAATTCAATTAATAAACCCTGTCTAATTAATTTATTGATAAATAATTAAAATAGTAACTTAAAGGTCTATACAGACTGACCGGATTAAAGACCTAATTTTTTTATTGCAAAAAAAATTAAGCTTTATATGATTGATAGAAGGACCATACAATGTTCTACATTTATGCAAAATTCATTGAGGTCCGTTTAATATAAATATTATATTCGTATTTGTAATAAACTCCGGTATATGTGAACGGTCCCTTATGTGAGCGATGTGGTGTATTACCGCGATGGTGTTCATCCTGCCGGAGATGTCGAGGTCCGGCAGCGTGTCGTACCACTGCGACAAGCTGCGCTTCACAAACAGCTTGAAGCTGGTGGGCCGCAGCAGCTTGCGCTCGTGCAGCACGTCCAGCTGCTCCGCGCGCAGCTCCACACACGACAGCTTCATATCCTCCAGCTCCAGCATCAGCTCGTCTACCGTCACTTTGTTGCTCACGTCCTGGTAACACATTATAATTAAATGCAAAACATCCAATTGAAAATGAAATTTTATGTCACCATTTTAAAGTGTAACATTAACTTTCTGTGGATTTACAAGTTCATTTAACATGATCAGACTTTATTTAATCAATATTTACACTTGTTTAAGTTTTTCAAATATCAGAGGCTCAATCATCGACACATTACGAAATCTCGCATTATTGTATAACGGTACTATAATATTGTGTGTGATTTTCCGAGCCGCTAAGATATCTGACAACTGTACTTTGTGGAGTTATTCGTTTTTCGGTTTATTTAAGTAAAGATTTACTTTTACATAATAACAAATAGATATTAAATAGTATACTGACGGCAACGGGCAGGTCGACGAACTTGTTGTTGAGGGTCATGCGGCCGAGGTCGACGAGCACGGCGCGGCGGCTGGCGGAGTTCTCCGGGACCAGGATGATGGGCGCGGCGAGGCGCACCTTCAGCGACAGCTTCGTCAGGTTCTGGTACGCAGTCTGCACGTTAGCGCGCGCCGCGTCCGCCGCCTGAGATGATGCCTCGATGATCGCTTGCTGAGCCGTTTGGAAGTTATTCAGGAACTCCTGCAATACACGTAACAAATTTATCTATATTAATATAATAAAGCGTACACACACTACTTAGTTATGTAGGATGTTAGCAATCACATTATATTTTTTGAATGATATCTCTACACTTACGACACGCTTTAGGCTATATATTATCATGATATTAAAATTTGGGTCTAAATAATTTGGAAAAAGCGTCATTCGTCAAAAAGCGACAAAATACAAGCTGACAACATAAGCAAGATTTTCGTGCTAACGATCATTGTTATCCATTTGAATTTTGACATTTGCTAGAAAAAATTTCTCAGATGTTAAACTAGGTTTACTAGGTCAACAGCCAGTATGCAAGTTGTACTTACCAGCATCGATGTGACGAACCAGTTGAGGAAGACGATACGCAAGCAGTTGATCTGCGCGTCTATCGACATGTTAACATCGCTAACGTTCGGGTACTGCTCCAGGTTGTACATCACTATTTGAACGTTGATGACGTCACCTCCTAGTACTTTTAAAATCTGAAATAAAACAAAATATATGTAACAATCAAAAAAAGTTAATCCCGATTGTTTACAATTTCAACCTTTGTATACCGCATTATCATTTACATTAAAGTATAAATTATAAGATTCCTTAAGTTATAAGACACACTATCCTAAGCAAGGCCCGGCGCACATTTGGCGGGGTACATCGCAGACTATGCCCGCAAAGTCTTTAAAACTTAATCATCATGTTAATCGAGTTAACTTCAGTAATTATTTCAATGAGAAAATTGATAACGTTTTGACTCTCAAAACCGCTCTCTACAGCACTCCGCCTTATGTGCGTCGGCCCTCATAAATTTTATCGGCTATTTGTAGGTTATGTTTACCGACCTCTCTATGTATAGTCTCAGGGTTGAGGTCTTCGACCTTGATGGAGGCGACCGCGCAGTCGAGCTGCGTGTAGGAGGGCTTGAGCACGAGGCCGGCGCCGGCGCCCTGCAGCCGCAGCGCGGCGAGCGGCCGCCGCTCCGTCGCGAACCCAATCTCCACCGCGCCGATCTTCACATTCACCTTCAGCTGGATGCTTTCGATCTGCTTGCGGCGCGCGGGCTTCGACACACTCGCTGGAATACACAAGTATTTTCATTCAAAAACTTTCTATCTCTGTCTCTTTTTTGTATCTCCTCTCTCTTTTCCTCGCACACTCTCTACGTGTTATTGTTTCATTTCTGGTCTGTTCGTTCTAGGTATGCTCAAAACTTCGAGTTGGTTCCAATATGTAAATTAGTTTAAATGTTTCGCTGTTTATAATATTAATAAAAAAGTTATTATAATCAAAATAAATACAATTTTGCTTAACATTAATAATAAATAGTATTTTAAGTTATCATCTATTCAATTCGCTTTATTCTAACAAAAACTATATTATACCTTTAGATTTGGCTACAGAAAATTCTTCATCTTCCATAATAGTTTCCAAAGGACCTGCATTAGCGTATCTGTCAACTTTGCTTTGGATGTTTTGTAAACGAGTCTAGAAAAAAAATTAAAAATAAACAGTTGAAAAGTAAATGAAAAAAAGACAAGGAACAGTATATATAAGATACACATACAAAAAAATGTTTCCTGTTTTTATTAATTAAATATTGTTATTTTCTCAAATACCTGATATTCGTTGGCAATTATTAGTATCTCTTGCAGCCCTTGCAGATGTAACAACAGTTTGAGAGTCGTAAAATCTAATTCAATCAGTTGCTCGATAGATCCGTAGTGACTTCTGAATTCTGGACATTTCTTGTCAACCTAAAAATAAGTATAATTTTATTTCTCATGAATCCTTTAGTTGCAAACAACTTGTTTACCTTACATCCATTATTACCAGATAATTTAAATGGGCCTGAAACATCATATGAAGTAATGATAATGGTAGACCATTATTACAAGTATTATGTAAAAAAAAAAAACAATTGCGTAGACCCATTATAATTACAATACAATACAATTTACATGTTTTCAATTATAATAAAGTGGAGAGAATTGACCTGTTGTATGTGACAAATAAACTCCAAACTACTGGGACGATTTCAAAAATACTTTCACTATAATAAAAATTAAATCATCATTGAGTTACATAGACAATATGTTAAATTAAAAAGCTATCTATACTAATATTACAAAGAGGAAAGATTCACAATTTTGCATGTATTGAAATAACTCTAATTTGTAACTTTGCGATATCAAAACTTCTTTTAACATTAAAAAGCTACGTTACCGACGAGTTAGTCCTTTTAATTATATTTTTTTCGCGAAGTCGCAAGTAACTATTTATGAAATAAACTTACATTACGATAAGTGACCGCGAACAAATACTGATTGGTCAATGCAGCATCAGTGACGTCAGGCACTTCAGGTGTCTCTATCATGTTGATGATGCGGTGCCCGGTCCTGTGGTGCTGCATGTTGACAGCGCCCAGCCTCACCGTCGCCTCCAGCGTGAACGTCTTCTGCGTCGCCGTCAGCTCCAGCAGTTGCAGCGAGAATACTAAGAACTTGTCGTATCCACGCGACTGTGCTGATATCTTGCGGTTCACACTTAGAATTAATTCTGTAATAAAATGGAATTGCTTTATGAAGTCTATCTAAAAGTTAACATTTTTCATACTAATTCTGCATTTAGTGACTATTAAATTATTCTACAATGCGACAGATAAAGACGGATAGAAACAAAGTTATAAAGGCGTTTTAGTGATTTTATACAGTTTCAAACTTAAGAATCATCTATTTCATTTTTTTTTTAACATGAGTTCTATTATACCTTTCATAATAAAGAAAGCCTCCACTTCAGTGAGCTGGACAGATTGTTCGTCAGTTTTCCTTTGCTTGGAGCGCGCTGTGTCTCTTTTCTGTTTCTCTGCTGGGTCTAGATACTTCAGCAATGACAGACTTGATGCCTTCGAATCACTGGCCTGAAATTAAATAAAAATATAATTAAAAATTACCTACATTTTAATGATTCAAAAATGTATTACACATATTCCTTAGTTAGCTAATAAAATACAAAGAAAATCTATCTAATTAACTATTGTAAACTATTAAACCTGAAAATATCTAACTAAATGGTCAAGTTATATATTTCTTATTGCAAAGTTTACTTTACACTTTTCTACAGGTGTAAATACATACATATTTTCTATTATTTAATAAGTATAATAGTGATTGTTATTGACAGAATTACCGCAATAGGGTCGGTGCGAGGATCACCAAAGAGCGGATAGTCAAGCACTTGCCCACTCACGGTATACGCAAATTTGTAGCAAAATATCTTCAGACGGAAAAAGAAAGCAAACTCAAATAAAAAGGTAATTAGAGTTACAAAAAGTTTGATTTGATAAATCAATATAAACATGGAATTTTAAAAAGAAATAAAATAAAACTATGTTTAGATTGCGTTATAGGATATAATGAAATGAAAATAAATAACAAACTAGATGTAATTACCTTTAATTGGGTCGTCTCTTCAGATTGTGGCAAAGGCATGCTTACTAATATTTCGCATAGAGTTAACAGCCTGAAAATAATCAATGTATAGTATTTAAGTGGTTATAAAAAACAATGTAGGTAGGTAGTTTAACAGTGGTAGAGCCGGCTTTTATATCTTAGCCCGAATGGGTCGCCTTGCGTGGTGAATACCATGACCGTACAGAAGAAAGGCGTGAAGTGGGAGCAATTCCGCGTATCGTCTGATGGTGGTGTGGTGGTGTGGTGGTGTGGTGCCAGGGGCCCAACTTTAGGCCCTTTCATACGCCCGCATAGGAAGGGGAAATATCCCCTTTATGTGCATCTCCTCTGTCGATTAAGGGAATCGTATCCGCTATTGCGAATGTCTATGGGCAGCTGTCACTTTGCCAAGACGGATTCAGGTGGCCGCTTGCTCGTTTCCTACCTTATGTTATATCAAAAAGTATACCTGTCCTCTGAGACCGAGATGGCGATCTTCTCGAGTTCTCCGCGAACCTTGATTTTGGGCATGCGAGGGTCGTCAGTGATGAGACACTTGTGTATCTGTATGGTGAGGTTGGTGGGCTGCAACAGGTGCAGCGGCGTACCCACATCCGACCCTATCGCCGTCTGCCACTCCTCTTGTGCACACGCTATCACTATCTGAAAAAACATTTACAATTCATATTTTAAAGTTATATTTTCATAGACTACAAGCTGATAAATGGATATTTATATTGCTTATCCATCCTCTACACCAGTGACTCTCAACCAATGTGCCGCGGCACTTTTGTGTGCCGCCAAATTTTGCACATTTATGTCAAACTATTTATGCAGTGCTGTAGTAAGTAAACAATTTTTATCTTTTTCTTTGTGTGCCGCCAAATTTTGAAATCTTTAAATATATGCTGCAACAAAAAAAGGTTGAGAATCACTGCTCTACACTATCAACTTCTTACTCTTCCTTACTGTAACCTTATTTGAAGTAAATGCAGAATGCCTTTATTCAAAAGT